ACAGAGCCAGACTGTCTCAAAAAATAAAAATAAAAAATAAATAAATAAATAGCATTTGATTACAACTATAGGTGAGACTATTAGTGTGAGGTCATATTTTTACTTATATTGACAAAATAACTATTCTATATATTGGATATTGACTTATATTGACGAAATAACCATAATATTCTGACTTAGAATAATATTCCTTTTCTGCTGTATATTTGCAAGCTTTTGATCAAATATTATGGGAGCTCAATAGAAATCAACAAGATGAATCTTTACCACAAGAATTACTGATGCATATACTTATTTTTCTTAAAATCCATTAGCTTTTTGTGACAGATGGGTACTTTATTTTCAGTGTGTTGTTTATTACTTAGACGTGGCTGTCCTGCCAGAAAACTGTTATTCTCAGCTGTACCCACATTGACTAATATTGAGTGGAAGTGAAGGGGATAAAAGCAAATGTGTTTTCTCTGTATCTTTTTTCATCCATTGGCTGAAAAACAGGAGGATGCAGAATATGGAAGAAAATATAATCCCTGAAAGATCTTGAAGAAGCTCTCTTAATCAGACAAAAAACCCCATAGGGAATTTTTTTTTTCATTATTGCACGCTGCTTCTATGAGTTTAAATTTTTTTTACATTTTACATAGAAAGAAACCTAGGCTTTTGGCCAGGCATGGTAGCTTAAGCCTGTAATTCAGCACTTTGAGAGGCCGAGGCAGGTGGATCACCTGAGGTCAGGAGTTGGAGATCAGCCTTACCAACATGGAGAAACCCCATATCTACTAAAAATACAAAATTACCTGGGTGTGGTGGTGCGTGCCTGTAATCCCAGCTACTTGGGAGGCTAAGGCAGGAGAATTGCTTGAACCCGGGAGGCTGAGACATGAGAATCACTTGAATCTGCGAGGCGGAGGTTGCTGTGAGCCGAGACCGTGCCACTGCACTCCAGCTTGGGCGATAGAACGAGACTCCATCTCAAACAAAAAAAACACAAATGAAAGGGAAGGAAGTGAATTACTGACAATAGCTAAGGTATGGAATCAACCTGAGTGTC